TTAGGTTTACAATAGCGAAGGGTTCCGGTTGTGTGTAAGTGGTGCTGGCGAGCAGGTCAAAGCACCGAGCGTTGCGGAAGAAAGACATAACCGAGCGTTGCGGAGAAAGAAAAAAATGGACTATAGTCTGCAATGTGTACCCGCATGTCAAGTTGTCAACTCGTAAAAACGTCACATAGTGTCACATAGCTCGCATTCCTTCATGACCCTCTCTGGAATTTGGATACATAGGTAGTGTCTTTGCCAAATTTACGATTTCCGCTCGAGACCCTATTTTTAAACAGTAGTGATTGCCAAATGCCAAACCCAAAACTCAAAAGGCCTATGCTCTATGGTGCATTCGCGTATAGATAGGGTTGAGAAAATATTTTAGAAGTTACCGTTTCTATCTGATTTGTTTTTTTGGAAAATAAAATATACAGTGCGAACCGTATCCACCTAAAGGAAGCCATAGCCGTCGTCAAAAAACAACGGCCAAATTTTGACATGTCTCTATGTAGTCTCTACCCGTTACTCGTATGTGTGCCGATCATTACGTATACGTTTATACCTTCATATTTTGGTATGTATGTACCTACGACAACAAAACGTAATATGTTTTCATACTACATATACATGTGAGAGTATGACCCCAAGGGCCCAAAGGCCAAAATGACATGTAAAAAGTTATTTTTCTAAATGAAATATTGAGCTTTTTTTGTATTATTTTTGAAATTCTGAGACTTGCGTTGGCTTTCTTCAGTTTCTTGTGATGAACTGATGATGCGGCACTTCGATTTCTGCCCTAAAAAAAATCCCAAATTTGAAACCTAAAAATAAGGACAATATTTCCAAATTTTGAGCAAATATTTTTATTTATTTTATCTGTAAAAATTAAAATATATGTTTGCAGTGTTTCAGGCTTGTCGCCCCACGCCTGCAGGTTGCAGCTTGCGAATGCGAATTTAAAAAAAAATTCATATATTTACATACAATATATGTATTTATTACATAATACCTACATATTTGTTTTATTTTATTAGCTTGGCAGTTGGCACTTGGCACTCTGAGTCTGGCGTCTGGACTTACACTGTACTCTGGAATTCAGGAATTTTCTCTCCGAAATCACACGAAAATAAATTGTTTTGTCCTGGGGGTACTCCAAGAGTCCGGCGAGGCGGCATGAACAACCTTCCCCCCAATCCCCCTTATGTTTTTCCGTTTTCGGAGGGTACATATAACTACAACAATACATAGTACATATTTACATATAAAAATATAAAGTAAAAGAAACCCCAAGCCCAAGGGCCCAATGCATTTGATCTTTCGGACACCAGTGACCAGTCCGATTAGGCGATCAATCCCCCCACTCCGAGGACCCAGAGATACATCATTATGTTTTTGGGGTTTTTTAAACTATGGATTGTAAATTTTTAAATCTGACCACCGAGTGACAGATTACCTTTATACACCCTCGTTGATGAAAAAAAAAATCACAATTGATCAGTCTCTCTCTTTCTTCTCGGATGACTTTATCTGAAACCTCTCTCTTGTGTTGTGTGAGCCTTCGCTCTCTCCTTGTGTTGGCTTCAAGAGTTCAGGACTGCAGGAGTTCAGGGGTTCAGGGGTTCAGGGGTTCAGGGGTTCAGGCCTTCAGAAGTTCAGGCTTCAGTGGGGTTGGTATAAGAAATTAAGAATGTTGTATGGTGCAGTCGATTGAAACATAATTTTCTATGTGAAAGAATTTTTAATCCAAATCGGCTTTCGTCACGGGATTTCGAGTTGTGTGTAGAAGCCAAACCGCCTTAAAAAACTTCGGCCATTTATTTTTATTTTTGGGACCGGGCAATATCGTGGCCTCAGCGGCCATTCTGGACCTCAGCGGCCATTCGGGGCCTCAGTGGCCATTCTGGGCCTCAACGGCCATTTGCATATACAACTCCTAGTCAGTGCAACCCACACAACGATGCCGGTCCCACCAAAGAGAGCGAAACATCTGACAGGCGGCAGGGGTGAAAGGCACTCTCTACGCGGTTCAGATAACAGATTTACAACAGTAACAAAGCACCAAGATTATACACCAAAGAGTGAATTAGCGATGGTGACGCATGCAGAGAACATAGGAACATAAATGTAACATTTGATAAGAACCTTATCACACCTCTAGGAATCAGCACTCGCAGGCCATTACCTGCCTCATACACAGAGACCGCAGAGAGAACAAAACGGCGGAAGAGAGTTAATGCACGGAAGCTGAAGAAATAAGTCTAGGGGTAGAGCTAAGTTTGATGTTAGAGAGAACTGCGATGGAACTTGGGCCGGTCTCCAAAAGAATGTGATCAGAGCTTTGGACGATGTTAAGTTGGCAACAATTAGGCGATTTGTTAGGGTCTCTTACAGATATATGGACTTTTACGACAAAGGGTTGACTTTACAGTTGGCAGAATTTGCCAAGAAGTAGTAAACTTCTCGCCGTCGGGTACCCGAGAATGTGTACGATATAGTTACAGCTGAGATGTCTAGTAGAAGCTAATTTCTTTATTAAGACTACAATAAATACACCTTTGAACAGGATGGGGAACAAATTTCGAAAATCTGATGATAGCAAGAGTCTTAGAAATGGGCTGGCATGTCGATTTCTGCCCTCAAAAGTCCAAAATTCGTACTGCAAGTTGGGTTCCACCACAAACGGCCAAATTTTCAAGATTTTGTCAAAACTAGATTTTGAACCAAGTACAAATCCGAAAATGTGTTCGGGTGATTTTCTCAATCGGGTCTTTGTGAGCATTTTCCGCTATCAAACGTCCGAATCGGGTCACTATTGGTGTATGCTGTGTCTGGCTGAAGTAGGGGTGGTTTCCTGTATCATTTTAAAGCGATTGCACCATATGAATATCACTGTATTTTAAAATCTTTGCTTCATACTTCAGAAGTTCAGAAGTTCAGAGTTCAGAATTTCAGTAATAAACATTATGTATGTACAGACTTCTTCATTTCTAAACTTCTAATTCAGTTGTATTACTAGTATGTATGTACAATTGTACATATCTCTTGCTAGTTGCTATGTACATATGTACAAAGTTAAAAGCACAATTGTCTGACATTATTAGAGTACTCTTTAGAATGGTCGAGAGTTTCAAATTAGCAAATGTAGCCCTGCGACTCCTGTGAGTTGTGACTGAGGACTCCCTGAGCCTTTTGAGTATCTTTATTGATTTATCACTCTTTTCATGTATTTTGCTCTAAAATGGACTGTTTTATTATTATATTATATGTAGTCAATTATATTTTGCAAATTTACATATATATATAACAATCAACCGACGCAGTTGTCATAAACAAATATTTACAACCAAAAGTGTTAAATTGTTGTTTTTGTGTGATGGATTTGATAAGAAATATCATGAGCGAACCACATTTATGCAGGGAAAAGAAAAGTCGGTATTTCAATGGGAGTCCTAAAAGACACAGCGATCGCATGAATACCAGTGCGAGTACGTTGAACGAGAAAAAGTCGGGCTATGACGACTTTTTGGACATGCAGCACTTACCTCCAAGAACTGCAGTCCAGCCACACACCTTGTCGTCCGTTGAAAGATCGAACAGCACTGGTTCGTTTATAAACCGGATTCTGCACCCTACGAGTAAATGCAGCTCTCCATATACTACAATCAAGCAATTAACTTTTCCTCTTTCATCCGCATCGCAATACTCCACCTGTGAGGATGAAGATAGGTTTCCCCATATGCTCCACTGTCGTTCTAAAGAGTGCACAGCAAAACGAGCCAAATTTCTAGCCTGGGCTAAAAAGCATTTCTGTGACGAATGCTTATTGTTTTCGATACAATACAAAAAGTGGAAGGTTAAAGCAACGAATGCTGAGCGAGATTCCGATCAGATCTTGAGTGAAGGTGTTTTACTGTTATTCACCTACATCGTAGATACTTCTGTCAACCAAGTGAATATCCCCGATGAATACAAACGAGATGCTAGCAGGGCTGGGAAAGTTGGCGATATCGACAAATTTAGGCAAAGCATGGATGTGATAGCTAATTTTATCGATTCCTTTATCGAACTGGGCATCCATCGAGAATTTAGACGCAGTTGTCATGTTTAGATTGTTAATCCTCAAGAAATCCCAAATGAATAGTACAGACCACTTCCGAAATCCTTAGAGAAGTTTAAGTCGATACGATGAATATGGTGCGAAAAATGTGCGAATAGATGCTTCTCAATTTGGCTGGATACAAGCTTGCTTCCCGAACATTTCATGAAGTGTGACTCCACCGAAATCCCGAATGATTAGTACGGACAACTTCCGAGATCCCTGTAGAATTTTACGTCGAGAGGATGGATATGATACGAATTATGTGCGAGATGGATATTTCTCAATTTGCCTGGATGCTAGTTATTTGCTTCCTTTGAAAACAGAAAATAATAACTACGAATGTGATTAATCTTACCACATTCGACGCGTGCGAATATGTACGAATTAGGTGCAAAGTTTCTATTTGGATACATGCTTTCTTCATGAAGTGAGATTGTACTCCACATATATATATTCGACGTGTAAATGTCACGAATTACCGCTAAGACACATTGAGCAAAGCATCCGCGATTGGTCCATCATAGCGAAGACACACAGAGCTGTACGTTCTGAATTAATTGCAAATTTGTGCGCGCTCGTTGCCAAGTTCCTTTGCACCAAGCGATGGTGATTTGGGGCAGACTTGCAGAGTCGTCGTAGAGATGTGTAATTTGTTTGAATTTAGTCATAGCATTTTTCACATCCGCCTTTAGTCATAACATCTGTTCACATCCGCCTTTAGTTATAGCACCTTTTCATATCCGCCTATTAAGAGTCGAAATCGAAATTATAGGGTGACTGAAGCCCATATTAAAATGCCTAGTCCATGTAGCTTCTTGCTTCAGTAGCTGGTTCATTAGAGATCGTCGCTTGTAGATGTTTAGTACCGAATAGATGAATCAATCACGCGCCTTTGCAATGGATTTTTCGAATATATATATATATAATAAATTTTTCCCGTATTCTCTTAATTGATGTG